TTAGATCAAGTTAATGACAATTTTCAGCCTTATATGAAAAATAATGCCAACCCAATCTATATTCACTCACATTCCATTCACGCTCCATCTGTAATCCAGCACATTCCTTCCCCTGTAGAACGTGGGATCAGCAACCACTCATAGGACAAGGATGTGTTTGAGAAACATAGCAGTGTGTACAATAAAGTTCTTAAGAATGGTGGTTATAAGTGTGCCGAAAATCAGTTTGGAAAATATTATTGTAATTCAAAGAAAAGAAATAGGAATAGAAAGATTATCTGATATGCACCACCATTTAATCAGTTAGTAAGTACTAAGTTAGTCCATAGGTTTCTCAAATTGAACGATAAACATTTTCCGAAAAGCAACCCTTTTAGTAAAATATTTAATAGGAATACATTAAAACTAAGTTATAGTTGCACCAATAATTTCGAGAAAGTTGCACGAAAATAGAATTCTAAACCTATTTAATAATCTTAATCATAATGCAAGTACCAATGAAAATATTGTTAAGGATACTAACTACTGCAATTGTAGGAATCCTAACAAACGCCCATTGTCAAACAAATGTTTAACCGAATACCTTGTGTATCTTTGTTGTATCTCTACAATAGAAAACCTGAGGTTTGAAAAGTTCTATATTGGTAGTACTAAGAATTTTTTTTTTCAAAACCTGATGGTATCAACACACATCATTTTAAACTAATAATACTTATAGAAATAACACATCACTTTCAAAATATTTTTGGAGGTTGAAAGATGAAAATAAAATTCAGTTAAATGAAAAATTTTAAATTTGGCAAGATCCTTATATGAACCTTATTTTCTGTGTTTACAGGAGAACATGCAGATTATCAGGTTCTTAAATAGTGATGATTTGAATTAACGGTTAATTGTAAACATATCATACCTTTGAATCTACAATCTTGCTAGACTTTGAAATTTGACAATTGCTTCTCATATTTTAGAAAAAACCTTGTTTTACCATATAAAGCTTATCTTTCTGTCAAATCAATTTCGATGTACTATAATTTGTACATTATTTTCTAGTACTGTTGGTAATATTTCGTATAAGGTATAGGTTTTGGCTGATATTGTGACATTTGGCTTTGATTAGTTTTATTAATACCCTATATAAGACCGTTTAGTTACATTCTATAAAATGTGAAATGTTAACTTTTAACTCACAGGATATGTGGTTTGTCAAGTATCTTATTAAATTATGTCTCTTCTCTCATAGGAAATGACATGTCTAATGTATAACATTGTATCAATTCCTATTTCTATTGAACACGATGTCTAGAGGTTGTCTACGATTCCAAATTTGTGAGTCATGACACCTTATGGCTGCTTTTTAACTTCCGTTTTTTCGCTTAGTTTGAACATAGCGAAGGTCATTTTCATTGGTGGATCTGAATATGAACAAAACAAATCATTCTGCTATCTCCTCGCTCGTTTATCTTTTTCCTTATTCTTTCATTTCCTCGGGAAATGTGAGTATTTCGTGTGTCTTTCTTACTCTTTTTCTTTTATTCATTTTCTCATGAAAAGAAGTTGTATGTTGTTTAAATCTCAATAAATTGTTTCTAACCAGTTATTTAATAACGCCTGATGAGATGCATTAATACACATCGAAACATGATTGTTTTTATGTAGCTTTTTCACACGTTTTTGATGTAATATCCTAGAATAAAGAATATTACTCTACTTTTGTATTGTCCTCTTTTAATTTGAATGTTACGAACGTTTGAATTTGATTCTATTCGTTTTCATTTCACATGGGTATATATATATATATATATATATATATATATATATATATATTAAATGATTTAAAATATGGTTATTTCGCTACACATTTCTAACCATGTTTCAAAAATGGAAGCTAAAAGCTCCGAATTTAATTTTGTAATTAAATTAAAGACATTAGTTCCCTTTCATCTTCCAGCGAATTTTGGAGTAACTTATTTTTTTAAATTTACTGAGTTTTAAAGGCACGGCAAAAATTCATAATTAACTGTTTCCAAGGATATAGAGAAATCCACTCAGCCAGACAAGGGGTGGTAGCGTGTTCATTTTCATTAACTTTTGTTGTATCAGTTATTAGTTACGTTCAAAAAGGGGTTACGTTTAGGTAGGGGTAGGGATGTATTTTTCAACGAATTCCAACATCCGTTAAATGTATGCCGTCTGGGTTTTTTAAAATTTTATTGTTATTTATATATATATATATATATATATATATATATATATATATATATATATATATATATATGTGGGGGTGGGGATGGGACTACTTCATCACATTTTCCAGCGGTACCAATTGTCTGTACCAAGGACGCAAATCCACGATATTGATCCCCACGCCAAGCAAGTCCCCTTTACTGAGACGATATTTGCAAAGCAATCATTCTACTCAATATACTTCACCTAAACTTGGTATTTGGGTAGACTCAGATAGGCATCGTGAATATCTATATCCCTACACACACATGCTCGTCACACACACACATATATATATATATATATATATATATATATATATATATATATATGTGTGTGTGTGTGTGTGTGTGTGTGTGTGTGTGTGTAGATATAATTCAATCGACCGACATCAAAGAATCACAAAACCCCGCTCATCAGACTAGAGGGTTCGATAAACCTGACCCTGATGAGCGGTGTCCCGTGAAACTTTGAAGTCAGTCGAGAGATATGTCGATTGAAATTTTATTAATTTATTGACAATTGTCGCACTAGTTCTCTATTGGTCATTTTCTTGGCAAAATCCTATTCGACTTAGAATTATAGTATTTTTTATGTGTTTCGATCGGTGTTATTGAGTTGTATAATATATGTGCATGTGTCCGTGCAAAGCAAAGATCTTGTTTCGATACATAGAACGGTAAATAGACATGAAGAGAATGAGATAGACAATATTTTGCTAGATAGATAAATAGATATGAAGAGAATGATGTAGATAGATAGATAGATAGATAGATAGATAGATAGATAGATAGATAGATATGACGAAAATGAGACAGATATATACATAGGTAGATAGATAGAGATTTGAAGAGAATGAGATAGATAGATAGATAGATAGATAGATAGATAGATAGATAGATAGGCAGGCGCCTGTTTGCGTAAATACATCAATTAATATGCAGCCTAATAATAAGAGAAAATTATTTTTGAATCAATATATTTATTTATCAACATAATCTCCTTCATTGTTACTGCAAGTATTTTAACATTAAATAATGATTCGTTTAATCGATACCTATATAATGAAAATTTCAGATAAAAAGTCAACGAATGACTATATGTCAAATTATGAACTTACTGATCCTGCCCCCTCTCGTATATCATTTTGAAAAAAATCTATGTTAACATTTTTAGACAAATATTCTCACTGCCGTTGTCTTGAACAATGCATTTCAGTCGAAGAATGCATCCATCGTAACGAACAGGCAAAAAAGCTAACAAAAATGAAATTATTCAATGGACCATCTTATACAATTTGGCTTACCATAAGTCACGGTTTGAATTGCTACTTGGTCGGATTGGAGGATCTGATCAGATTTGAAGGTTGCTTGTTTGATTTTGAGAGTCATCGTTTGAAAGGAGTGTCCTGATTTGAAGGACATGTCCCAGTTGTGACAATCCCGATTTGAATGTTCTGTCTCGGTTTAAAGGGTCTTTTCCAGTGTTATACATTATCTGTATTTTTGTTTACGTATGTGAGCCCTCAATCTAAATATGTGTTAGTTCAGGAAAACACATGATTATACAGAAAACTAAACCTATAATAAAAATTGTAATCTGAGTACTAGAAAATATGGTAATCCGGACATTTTATATTAATGTTAACCTATTACAAGGCTCAAAAGTCACGGAAGGTAGAAGATAACGCAATAAAATTTTTCCTAGGAATATATGAGTAAAAAGTAGGAAGTGAAGATTATGAGGATATGGATGATAAAAAAACGATTGACTCTCGAATTGAAGTGTTTAAACTGACATTTGGGAAGCATCCACGCAGGAATCTGTTCCACAAGTCAGTGGTTCTTGAGAAAAAATCTGAGTGGATTTTCATCCTTGGAACTTGAATGTCGAGAGAATGAGTGTGGTTCGACTTCGTGGACGTAACATGACGTAACACAGCGCGTCTTAGCTTGTAAAGTTATAGAACTAAAACATGAAACTCGGAACGTTGGGTCTACGGAAAAGTGGGGTGTCGGGTGATAATAAGACATTCCCACAGTTCAGATTTGGCAGCAATACTCCAGTTTTGGTCAGATTTGAATCTTGAAAAAAAATGGCTGTAGCATTAACAAATTTAGTGTCTCTTCACTTAATCTTTATCAGTATTCTGAAAATTACTTGTTTACTAATTTTGGTGAGGCGCATAGTAGAGAATGGGAGAGTCGTATGTCACCAATCTTTCAATTTCAGTTTACCACGGCGGAGTAATGGATAGTAATGGATAGTGGCTCAGATTGAGGAATCGGGGAGCCGAGTTCGAATTCCAGTCGAATCAATTACATTCACACACGTGCTAATATCCTTGGGAAAGGTATGAATCCTCTTCTTCCCCCTCCAGCTATGGGTAAATAGCAGGACAGATCGGTTTCTATAGCCTTTGATAGAAACTGGTCAACCGCACAAAGAAATGGCAACCTACTGCGGGAAAAATCTGCTTCGTTAGTCATGTATCGAAAGATACATGATCGCCTAAGCGTGTATCACGCAAGGTATATAACAGACTGACTAGATGTCTAACTACCTGACTACATTTAAAATCAGCGTTTATTTGAAATGCTGCACAGACTACTGGCAGCGGTAGGGATTAAGCACCTACCTCAGAACTTGAGTTTGCAATTGTATTTGCTTACTACGATGTGATTTTTCTACGTCGGCATTTTCAGTGAATTAATCTAAATAAAACTAAACAAGAACTGATAAAGCTTACTCATTCTCTCCCATTTTTCGAACTGATCATGCTTGTTTTGACTCCAACCAAACCCTTCCACTTTCGTGATGCAAGCAACACTTTTTGCTTTCGTTTTTCCGTCTGTTCACTTCCCGCCCAAATATTTTCCTTCAGGATAAACCACATATTTCTATTGTTTTGCATTCATTCAGTCTATGTCCACTATTTTACTGTTGTTTTCCCCTTTTCTACAGGACACTTTTTCATGTTACTTTTTACCCACCCTACTTTTCAAAAACATATTTTTACTTCCTTTTTGTATTTTCATTTTTTTTTGCCATTAATTTTTTTTTCTTTCTTTCCGTCCATTTTTCGTTTTTCCTCTGCGATTTCATTTTTTTATAATTTCTTCCATCATTCTTGTTTTTTTTCTATCTTTCGTCTCATTTGAGTCTTTCTTTTACAGTGTTTCCTTTCTTCCTTTATTCTTGTCATTCTTTCTTATTTCTTCCCTCCCCCTCCTTCTTTTTTCCTCTTTCTGATTATCATTCACTCCTTTTTTTCTTTCTTACTTATATTCTTCGTTCATTCTTTCATTTTCCTTTCGTTTTTCTACTTTCTTTACATTATTTTCACGCTTTTTCCATCTATCATTTTCTTTTGAATTTCTTCTATTGTTCTTCTCTTTTTCTTATTTTCTCGTATATTTCTTTCTTTATTTCCTCTTTAATTTCTTACCTTTTCTTTTTCTTCGTTGTTTATGTGTTCTTCTTGATCAGGCCATTTTTCTTTTTACTTCTCTAATTTCTTTATTTTCGAATTTTTCTTCTTTTTTTCTTTCCACCTGCAATTTTCTTTTTTGTTTTATTTTTCTTTCTATTTTCTGTTTCATCCATTTTATTATTCTTCCAGTTTTCTTTTGCTTATCCTACCGTTATTCGTTCATTTTGTCTTTCTTGCTCTCTGTTTTCTTTTTTCTTTTTTACTTACCTTTTTTCCCGACCTATATTTCTTGTCCCTTTTCCTTTTTTTTTTTTTTTTCACTCATTTAATTTATTCTTTCTCTATTCTGCCTTTCCTCTTGTTTATACTTTCTTTTTATCCTCTCGTTATTCTTGCCTCTTTCTTTCTTACTGCCTTTCTTTCTTTCTTACTGCCTTTCTTTCTTTCTTACCGCCTTTCTTTCTTTCTTTTCTCCTTTTTGCAACCTGTATTTTCTTATGTTTTTATTTCTCTGTCTCGTCTATTCTTTTTCTCATTCTTCCCTTCATTTGATTATAACATCCTTATTCGTTTTCGTTTCTTCCTCCTCCTCTTCCTCCTCTTCCTCCTCCTCTTCCTCCTCCTCTTCCTCCTCCTCTTCCCCCTCCTCCTCCACTTCCTCCTCCTTCTTCTTGTCTTTCTTCTTTTCTATTTAATGCCCTTTTCCTTTATTTTATCTACATCGCTTTTTATTTCATTTTTCTCCATCCTATGATTGTAATATTTCGGTTTTATTCTTTTTTTCTTTTTGCAATTTGTCGTATTTTTTTTTTCCTTTCACTCATTCAAATTTCTGTCTATGCTGGTCAACTGTTTATTGACATTCATTGTCTTTCTTTTTTTCTTTCTTTCTTTCTTTTCCCATCCCCCAACTGTATTTTGCTTTTATTTGTTCGTTTGTTGTTCTTTTTCTTTTACTTTTCTTCCATTTATCCTTTTAATTATTTATTCGTTCTTTCCTCTTTCGCCTTATTTATCCTTTCCTACGTATCCTGTTCTTTTTCCTTTCCTTTCTTTTCTTTGTCTTTCTTTCTTTAGTTATTTATTATATTTTTTTACCCGTACTCATTTTATGCTTGTTAAATTTCCGCCATGATCGGAAGAAGATTTTCTATAACATTTTCTCATTACATTTTGTTCTACTTGTTCTTATTGTAAGAGTTTTCTTTTCATTTCCTTCTAGTTTCCTGTGTGACTGGTGCCGTTTTAATAATTTCTTTTCTCATCCACTTTATTTGTCCATTCATTTATCAGTTTATCTATTGTTTTGTTCAGCTGTTGCGGCCCACGTTGGGCTTCAATTGTTCCATGTCATGAATGCGATAAAATTTCCCGCAAAACACATAACTTTTAATAATTTTAAGCTCATCATTTCGGACTTATACCTAACGTCATACTTATAGATGAGAGTAGACGCTCAGGGAAACTTATGATTATCCACGATTTGAACAAATCCCGTACGCTCCAAGGTTAAACGATTCATGAAAATGATTTTACACATGCAAAATGCTCTTCCATATGAATACTTACAAAATCTCCATTGCTTACATATGCCCATCTACCTACAAATGTATGTAAAGAACTACAGTTGTATATATATATGTGTGTATATATATATATATATATATATATATATATATATATATATATATGTATGTATGTATGTAAGCAAATATATGGATATAGATCCGGCAGTATGAAGAAAAATATACTGAAAAAACAAACAAAAATCCTAATATGCGATTATGCTGTTTTAATGTTTAATGTCAACGTCGGACGTTTCGGTTGTTTTTTTCAGTATATTTTTTTCATATATATATATATATATATATATATATATATAGATACAGGATTTCATGAATATTTCACACAAGGATTATTCATTGCCACTTTAAGAACGCACACACATTTTATTGTATTTTTTATAGTTTTTTTTTCCCCTAATAAAATACATCTAATTCAAAATTGAGAATAAACTGTCTGTAGTTAATGATATTTGGTGTTTCTATTTGAGTATTTTCGACCATCTAGATTATCATATAGATGTCAGCATGAAAGCCAAAATTCTATTTACACTATTTACATTGTTCGGACTGCTGACCACATTCTTGTTGTCATATCCACGACGTTTCGGCAGTTGTACGCTCTGGCCATCTTCAGGTAACTGGAATTTTTATACGGATCCTTTATTTCATCCACCGCGGCAGATTGTTCTACTTCCACGTGCCATGCTTCTTCAGGTTTTCTCAATTTTAGCTATTTCTCTTTAACTTACTGAAGAAGACCGGCGCGTACAACAAATGGATATGACAACAAAGATAAGGACAACAGCCCGAACAATGTAAGTAATGTAAACCAGGCGTGTCAAACTCAGGGTATATGGAAGGCCGCATCAGCCATATCTCCAGCCTCGAGGGCCGCACCTGCTTACACCTAGTGGTAACTAAACTTTAAATACAAAATACTTATAATACAAGGTAGTATAATTTAATCATTTTTATGTTGTCCTGATGAGTGATATCGCTTTAGACAAACTATTCTCGGTATATCAGGTTAGAATGTCTGAGTGGATCCCACTTTGGTCAAAGATGACAAATGTTCAGCAGTTAATCTGGTTTTTGTGGCCTTCATAAACGAAAATAACTTCTCACAGACATATGTGGAACTAAACGTCGCCATAATGTTTGTGGCAAACTTTTTGAAGTTCTTAAATATCTGAGGAAGATATGAAAAAAAAAAATCCGAGTACCCACTACTTCTAGATACTTTCAAGAAAAATTCTCGATATACCACGGCTATAGAAACCGTTTGTGAGGGCCAGCAAGATGGATGTAAAAGGCCGAATGCGGCCCGCGGGCTGCCAGTTTGACACACCTGGTGTAAACAGTTACAATACGTCAGCTCAGGAATATAAACATATAGAAAAGATTCTGTTGGCTACACCCTAGCATTGCTTAATGTGTTTCCTAGTATTCTTATTCATCAATCCAAGGTATCCTACACCTACCGGGGTAATGGTCAGGTGAATGTAAATATTCTTGTAATTTCTATTTCCATATTATTATTATTATTATTATTATTATTATTATTATTGAAACACTTAGATGTTTCGACCGATTGATAATAGTTATGTATCGGTTCATACCCGCAGCTTAGTGACACGGCATTTCTTTATCACGTGATTTGTACCAAACAACGCTACCACTTCTGCATTCCAAAAATGACTGAACAGATGGTGGTATCCTCACAGTGTCTGGCGAGGCAGAAAGATTCTTGTATATAGTTATATGATAAGCAAATATAAATGGATATAAATCCGACAGAATGAAGAAAATATCTGGAAAAACAAAACGAAAATCCTTAAAATGCGATTATGTTGTTTTAATATGAATGAAATGTCGACGTCTGACGTTTCGGTTTAATAACTTTCTTCAGGACAATATTCATTAAAAATACAATTAACATAATCAATATAACACGACGAAAACGATGGACATAAAAACAAGTCTTATCCAAAACAGATTAATGAAAATTTTAAATGATCAGCTTTCCGTTTGAGCGTGATCACGTTGTCGTCAAATGGGCGACGCTTTAAAAACGTATTCTTAAATTTTTTTATAAATTTGATTCTGATGGAAAGATTTTTCATATATACAGTTCGTTAGAAAATCTTTTCTGTTCTTGTAGGAATACGCGGAGACTAGTCGATTCCTGTATCTTCGGATAAGCATGCAGTCCTCCATGTAATAAAATGAATTCAGGTTTGTATTTCCAGTGGACAGTATGATAAGCAAATATAAATGGATATAAATCCGACAGAATGAAGAAAATATCTGGAAAAACATTTTTTTAAAATAATGATGTTGTTTTAATATGAATGAAATGTCGACGTCTGAGGTTTCGGTTTAATAACCTTCTTCAGGATTTTAATGAATATTGTCCTGAAGAAGCTTATTAAACCGAAACGTCAGACGTCGACATTTCATTCATATTAAAACAACATAATCGCATTTTAAGGATTTTTGTTTTGTTTTTCCAGATATTTTCTTCATATAGTTATATATATGAACCATTTTTCAATTACTCATATTTTTCAATACAATCCAACTTCTTTTAGGAAATTTACAATCTTGGATGGTTTTATTTTCGTAAAAAGATTTTTTTTTAATTACTCACTTGGTTTGGTTTGGTTTGTTTTTGTTTTTTTTACAGCATATCAACCTCAAATATTTTGATTTATCAAAAATCTATTTATGGTATTTTTCCTTCAAAAATGTACTGCTGGTAATATTTATTTTAAATGTATTCTTAGTAATATTCTTTTCAAAACAGTATTGCTAGTAATAATTTTTTAAAGTATTTCTGATATTAAAACCAATTTTTACACTTTCATGTTGTTTTGACCCCAGTTTCGGGTTTAACTATTTGCCCATAGCTGGGACTCTAACAGATGCTACCACCCTGGATCAAGGCGGACCTGGGAACACCAGCAATTAAGAGGTGGTTCCACGCTCCTCCAAACCTGATCAGAGGTCTTGCTGCTGGACGTAGTTCATCGTCATACCCAGGACGGGATATGTACTATGGATTTCTTTTTGTGCGTCTAAGCAGATCATAAATCATATACGTTATAAATCGATTACCCGTTCCCGACGTACGTAATGTAGCAAGCCTATCGCTATTTTCATGTGATATGTTTTAAAGAACTATATTCATTAGTTCCAACAGTTCAGAACTTCACATCTAAGTTCCACTATACCACGTAGACCAAGACGAATCAACCCTCATGGATTTGTATTCCATTAATAAAAAGGAAATTCTATTCGGACAGCTTCTTCGGAAAAAATAAATTGAGGAAATGCTCCTGACTACTAAGTAAATACTTCCCAAAGTTTACCGGAGAGGAGAGCTTGAATTCCAATCGAGTTTGTTTCTGGTTAAGTTCTTTACGTTCTACGCAACTACACTTGTATCTGGGGGGGGGGGATTCCCCAAAACGTGAAAATGGTTTCTTTTCATCACGTTTTTTTTCTCCCGTGGATATTGCTGAGTATTGATAAATTATCGTTTTTTCTTTTTTCTTTTTGTTTTTTTTTGTTTTTGATCAGTATAGTGTCTCTTTTTATACTTAATAAATTCGGTGGTGAAGGCTTTTAAGGTAATGGATTTATCCTGTTCTAGTTTTGAAAGAAGTCCGGATCGAACATCAGCATGAGCAGAAGTTTTTAATCCTGCAATAAAAATCAGACATTTACAAACTGTTCGTCTGTGAGGGAATTTAAGTTAAATTTTTCACATTAACGATCGACTTGACCATCAAATGTCACATAATCGTCAGCATCGTCTTTCGTCAGATTTAAACAATTGAATCGAATATTAAATAAAGAAGGCTTTTCTCCGAATACTTCACCGAGCTGTTCCACTGTTTCAGTGAAGGTGAAATCCATTGTCTGCTTTGGTAAGATATCATTCGTATAATGGTCATGTTCCTTAATGCCCAGTTTACGAATTAGCGGACGAATTTTTCATTTTCCATCTTTGCGAGAAAAATCGGCGTGAAAGATATCCATCCAGCGTTTAAACCACGAAGCGACTTTTTTTTTCCCTCTATATGGAACGCGGCCTTGTTTATCCGGGTGACAACCGATCCGGTTTAAGGTTTTGTTTTAAAGATTGAGATTTGTATGCATTTTTTTTAGTCTTAGTCGCCATGTT